CGATCAGCTGATCATTGATCAGTTTCATGATTGAAGTAGCAGCAGAGAGAGAGAGGCAGTCGCTCCATATATTGTTTGTTAAGCTTAACGCTGGAATGCTTTACAAACACTCAGAGATGAACTTACACACTTGCTTTACTTCTCTGGGATCACTTCCTCGGAGATGAACTGCCGGTTTGGTGGTGAGGCTACAAACACACACAGCTGCTCCAACGTGCTACGGTTACGAGCCCAGTGTCACACGTTTTGTGAGGTGTTTTTTTTTATATTTAATGGATCGGATTACATTTTTTATTTCTCTCCGATATCCGATCCAGTAATTTAGGTCAGTATCGGACCGATACGTAATATCGGGTCGGTCCATCTGTACTTTGAACACAGCGCTGGTGCTCATTTTTGTTTGTTTGTGAGTCACCAATACAAATCTGCTGTGTTCTCTTTCTACTCAAAGTTAAATGTACCAACGTCTGATGTCTTCCTGCTGCAGGTATTCGCCTAGAGTTTGTCAAAGCAATCAAGGATGTGACAGTAAAGGAACGTGAAACAGCTGAATTCAGCGTGGAGCTGTCACATGACAAGATCCCGGTGGTCTGGTACAAGAACGACGTCCGACTTCATCCCAGCAAAGTTGTTCACATGTCGGCACAGGCGAAGGTTCACACGCTGGCCTTCAAGGAAGTCATCATCGACGACACGTCCATGATCAAAGTAGAGGCCATGGACAAGAGCATGACCGCCATGCTCACTGTCATCGGTCAGTGCCTCCTTTCTAAAGCACATTGAAACAAATGACATAAAAACATAGGACCAGATGACAGGACTTTAGAAAGAACAAACATTAAAGCAATCACAACTCATTCTGATTTAAAAGAAAAAGAAAACAGGTGTAAACAAAGCAAACAGAACAGGTGACAGCAAGCCACACCCACCAACATCCAAGAGTTCATCCTGTCAGACTGATTCAGACACGCTTCTCTGACGCCTGATTTTCATAACATACGTTTCCCCACACAGAGGGTGACGCCTACTTCACCACTAAGCTGCAGAACTACACGGCAGTGGAGAGGGACGAGGTGAAGCTGGTCTGCGAGCTGAGCAAGGCTGTAGCTGATGTGAAATGGTTTAAGGATGGGAAGGAGATCACCCCCTCCAAGAACATCGCCATTGTCACCGATGGCAAGAAGCGCATCCTGATGGTGAGGAAGGCAGAGAAGGCCAACATCGGAGAGTACACCTGCGACTGCGGCTCGGACAAAACCACAGCTAAGCTCAACATTGAAGGTAAACCATGGATCTGTCCCAGCCCTCGTGCTTTATGCATGCTGCTTCTCTGAACACGTTCAGTTTTTAGCTGTTGGTAAAAGTCCATGTAAATACAATCAGTCTGACCTTTGACCTGACAAACAGAAACCAAAGTGTTTGGTAACGAGCTGAGACGGTAATAAATGGATCATTTGGCATCTGTAGCCGTGGTATCTGGATATGTGCTTTGTTAGTTACAGTTCAGCTGTTTGAGGACCTTTGACGTGAACATAAATGATGTTTTGTTCTGATAAGCACAGAGGTCACCAGGCTGTCAGAGCTTTGTCAGCATTTATCTCTCTCTGTAGAAACGTTGGAGAGGAGCACCGGTTGGGTTTCTTGGTGGATCCTCAGCTTTGTAGATTAGAGCCTCATCATTGGCGAAGTTAAATTTGACTGCTTTAACAAACAGGCGCTCCACGGGTGAAGATGTTGCTGGTTTTTATAGTGATTTCTGTCCTTTTGCAGAGCGGGATATCAAAGTTGTCCGTCCGCTGTACAGTGTGGAGGTCACGGAGACAGAAACAGCCAAGTTTGAGACGGAGATTTCTGAGGAGGATGTCCATGGAAACTGGAAGCTGAAGGGAGAAGCTCTTCATCAGTCAGCTGTGAGTCTGCAGTGACCCGCCTGGCAGTCGGTTTCATATTCATCGCCACAGAGATGCTTTCAGCTGACTTTCATGTGCTCGTGTTTACCTCAGGATGTTGAGATTAAGGAGGAAGGAACCAGACACCTGCTGATCCTCTACAACGTCTGCATGGACATGGCAGGACCCGTTGACTTCTCTGCAGCCAACGCCAGATCCAGCGCCCAGCTCAGAGTCAAAGGTCAGAGGTCATTTTAGCCCTTATTTTTTAAACGATGGACAAAACGTCTCTGACACGGAGGAAGCTCCGTGCCGTTTGGCTGAAGCACACACAAACAGCAGCCCTGGTTTCTGTCACACACGGGTGTCGCACGTCTCTGTAAGTGTTCAGCCAATCAGGGCCTGTGGTTATTTTCACCACTTCAGTCTTTATCTGAAGGCAGGCTGCTCTCTGATTGGAGCAGCAGTAACCTGAAACACAAACCAGACCACAGGATCTCCAGCAAGTGCACGCCGGTTCATTTGTTGAAGGAGCTAACCATGTCTTTACCCTCAGCTCGGTCCATCACGCTGGTCCATCCTCTGAAGGACGTGACGGTGACGGCTGGAGAGACGGCCATCTTTGAGTGCGAGCTGTCGTACGAGGGCATCGCGGTGGAGTGGTTCCTGGGAGGGCAGAGGATGGAGGCCAGCGACCGGGTGAGTCTGACCACAGCAGCGCCCGCCTCTCCTGTAACTCGCTCCACACCGGAGAAACCGCTCACAGAGCTTTTCCTCCTTTTTAACAAAATGTTTCTCACTCATAAAACTTCTACTTCACCACAAAAGAAGAAGGAAAAGAAATGGGACGACAGAAATAAAGAAAGTTAGTGTGGATCCAGTAAAACACTAAAAAATAACAGAGCGTTACTTTTATTAAGCCTTGAGAATTTTAGCGAATTCCTGCAAAAAACCGAGTCGGTGCAAAAAGAAATGATTTCATAGTTTCTGTTGTGATCACACGGACAGCATTAATGAAATACTATCTTTGTGATAAGAAAGCTTTGCTTATATGTTTTGTATTTCTGTTCTCACATTTGTAACATTTTCACTCCAGATTTGGAAACTTTTCTCTTTGGTTAGAAAATCCGAGCATACAAACCTTCTTTAGTGTGATTTAAAATGTGAGATGGGACCTTTTAGTGGAAACAGGTTTTCTTCAGGCACAAACAGACCTGCACTGAGTCTGTCACACGTCTGATTTTAAACAATCGCCATCAGGACACGTTTACGGTCGCCGGGCTCTGATTTGTTCCTGTCTCTGAGCAACAAAGCTTTAAAAGAATTTCAAAATCTGAATCCCAGTTTGGATTATGAAGAAAAGACACGAGTTTTGTTTTGCAGATGAGGACAAGTTGTCTTTGTGATGTTTGATGTTTCTCTGGTTCTGCAGAGGCTGCAGCTAAAAATATCTGGGAGATAAACATGCGGCTCTTATCTGTGACTCTGACCCTCGAGTGTCGCCTTATCTGCACAAAGACCTCAGATTCTTTCATCTCCATTAAATAAACAAATGTTTCTCAGCAGGTCGAGGTCATTTTGTGTTCCTGGTAGTTTCTAAACCTATTACATGTGCTTGAATTAATAATCATGTTTTGCATTATAAGGAATGCATCAGTCAAACTAAATCTGCACTACTCGACCATCATTTGTTCGAACGAAGATTCCCCTCAGATGCTGTTTTCACTGTTTAACTGTTAGAGCACCAGCTCTCTCTTCTCACCTTTACTCATCGTCCTTTTGCGACTCTCTCTGTTATTTTTCTCTGAGAAAATCCTCAAAACACACCAAGTCCTGCCGCCTGAAGTTGCCTGTAGCTCTTCCTTTGTACTTCCTCTCCCATCACACTGTTTTTCTGTTTTCCAGCTTCCCTCTGTCACTGATATCTCAGATCTCAGCTGTAAGTCAAAAGCTTCTACCTGGACCCCGTTCCTACCGTTTGGGTCAAAGCCTGTCTACCCTCTCTGCTTCCCCTCATATCTGCTCTCATCTGCTCCTCACTACCACTGGAGCTGTTCCTGCGCCCTTCAAAGCTGCGGTGATCACCCCAATACTGAAAAAAAACAGGATCCCAGTAATTTTGATAATTTCCGTCTCCAATTGACCATTTCTATCAAAACTCCTTGAAAAGACAGTCGCCGCACAACTCCACTCATACTTCACTGATAATAATCTGCATGAACAGTTCCAGTCTGGTGTTCGTCCCTCCCACAGCACTGAAACTAATAGAAATACTCACTGATCTTCTCGTGGCAGCTGACTCTGGTTTACTCTCCATTCTTATTCTCCTCGATCTCACTGCTGCCTTTGATACTCCTCAGTAGGCTCGCCTCCATCGGTCTCTCCCATATCCCACTAGCTTTAAATCGCACTCAGTTTATTCGACTTAAATCCTTCACTTCTCAGCCCTTTCCTCTGGTTGCAGGCGTGCAGGGATCTGTCCTGGGGCCCCTTCGTTTCATTATCTAGCTTCTTCCGCTTGGACACATTTCACTGCTATGCCGATGACACCCAGCTGTATCTGTCCACTAAACCTGATTCTGCTCTCCCCCGTCCTCTCTCACCCTCTGCTTAGCTGAACTAAATTCATGGTTCTCTTCCAATTTTCTCAAACTCAACAGTAACAAATCCTCCTGGTCGGCACTAAACAAACACTGTCCACAACTAACAGCTTTTCTATTACAATCAATAACTCGCCGGTCTCCGTTTCCCCATGTGTGAAAAGTCTGCGTGTCATCGGCGATGGTACTCGATCTTTTAACTCCCACATCAGTAACGTCTCTCGGTCTGCATATTTCCAACTCCATAACCTTAATCGTCTCCGCCCTTTTCTCGCCCCACATGCCGCTGCCATCCTTGTTCATAGCCCGGTCACTTCCCGGATCGATTACAGCAACTCTCTTCTTTTTGGTCGTAGTCAAAAATCTATCCATCAGCTTCAGCGTGTCCAGAACTCTGCTGCTCGTATCATCACCAGGACTCCTTCTATGCACCACGTCAGCCCTGCTCTGCAGCAGCTTCACTGGCTTCTGGTTAAATACCGCATCAATTTCAAGATACTTTTGTGCACATTCAAGGCTACCCATCATCTCTCGCCTTCATACCGCTCTGGTTCAGATCACCGTCCCTTCCCCCCGGCTAGCCACCGTGGGGGCAGGGCTTTCTGCTGCTCTGCCCCCCATCATCGCTTCCTCCTGAGATAAGAAACATCACTTCCCTCCCTCTTTTTAAGTCCAGACTCAAACTTCTACATAAATGTTTCCATCCTGCTACTTTCATTTATTTTATTTATTTGTTCAATGTTTTATCCTTATTAGCTTGTAAATTGTTATGTTTGTTGATGTTATTGCTTGTGTACAGTGTCCTTGAGTGCTTCGAAAGGCGCTTTGTTAAATAAAACAATTATGATTATGATTATTATTCCATCCATCCATTCGCTTCTGCTTGTCACGGGGGCGCTGGAGCCTATCCCGGCGGTCATAGGGCGAGAGGCGGGGTCCACCCTAGACAGGTCGCTAGTCTGTCGCAGGGCTGACACACAGAGACAGACAACCATTCACACCTATGGGCAATTTGGATTCATCAATTAACCTATCCCCACAAACTATTATTATTATTATTATTATTATTATTATTTATTAATTATGACGTTTTTTCAGAATTTTAAATTTTTGGATATTTTTGAACAGTGTTTTTTAGCAGGTGAGTGTCTGAACCCAAATAATGAATTAATAAAGCTTAATTATGAATTAAAAATCACGAATGAGTTTTATTTAAAAACACAAAGGAGTTGAATTCATTGCTGGAGAAAATGAGGTTAAAGTGGAAAAAGCAGCCCAGTGATAGAAACCTGCCCGTGTGTGAAAGAGAGCAGCTCGATCAGCTGAATAATAAATTAGTAAAGTGAAATTTATTCTGTTGATATGACCAAAGGTTTTCACTCATTTCTAAAAACACATCTGCAGAAAATTCTTAAATATTTTATTATGATGTAGCTTCTCAAAGTGAATCAAGGCTGGAAGTTTGTGGACAATAAAAAATAAAAACGGTATTTTTCCCTGATTTCATCAGTTTGACACTCGGAGTTATTCAGTCATCGCTCAGACTCGCCGCCTGTTAGCAAACGAACCAGAATAAGTGTAATTATTATTTATAATGATTATTTAAGTGACGGCCCTGTATCTGTGTCCATGGTGACGCGTTCAGCTCGTGTTCGTGTGTAAGTGTGACGCTCGGTTTGTTTTCGGTTCCTGCAGGTGAAGACTCGGGTGGCGGGCCGAGTTCACACTTTGACCGTCCGAGACGTGAACCTGTCGGAGGCCGGCGAGGTCAAACTTACTGCCAAGGACTTCCAGACTCAGGCTCAGCTTATCGTCAGAGGTACGGCACTCGCTCAGACCGGGCTCCGAGGATCGAGGACAAAGCATTTCTAACAGGAGGCTGTGGTTACCACCTGTTAACCACGTCTGTCTCTGTACCTTTAGAGCCAGCGGTTGAGTTCACAAAGCCTCTGGAGGATCAGACGGTGGAGGAGGAAGCCACGGCCACTCTGGAGTGTGAGGTTTCCCGTGAGAATGCTGAGGTACGATGGTTCAGGGAGGGACAGGAGCTCAGAAAGACCAAGAAGTACGACACCATCGTGGACGGACGCAAGAGAGCTCTGATCATTCACGACTGCTCTCCTGAAGATGCCAAGTTGTACACGTGTGATGCCAAAGACTTCAAGACTTCTTGTTTCCTGGAAGTTACACGTAAGGACCTTAACCAGGCTTTAATCTTTCAAATCTGCTGTCACACCTCCAGCTGAGGTAAAGCATAACTGTGCTCATGCTGTGGCCTTTTCCATTCACAGCTCCGTATGTTGAGTTTACAAAGCCTCTGCAGGATGTTGAGGTCAGAGAGAAGGAGTCTGCCAAGTTTGAATGTGAAGTTTCTCGTGAGTCTGCCAAGGTGAGCTCAGCAGGATGCAAACAGTCGCTGCTGTCCTGTCGATCAGACTGAAACCGCTCTCACGCTCTCGACTAACCCTTGTGTCGTCATTTTTCAAGGTTCGCTGGTTCAAGGACGGTGGCGAGATCAGGAAAGGAAAGAAGTACGAGATCATCGCCAAGGGAGTCCAGAGAATCCTTATCATCCACAAGTCTGTGTTTGATGACGAAGCCGAGTACGAATGTGACGCGAGAACCTCCAAGACCTCTGGCATACTCACCGTCATCGGTGAGGAACATTATTCATCTATTTCAGGAGTAGGCAACTGCAGGCCTCGAGTGCCGGTGTCCTGCAGGTTTTAGATGTGTCCATGATCCATCACAGCTGATTTAAAGGGCTAAATGAGTCCTCAGCATTTCTTGAAGTTCTCCAGAGGCCTGGTAATGAACTAATCATTTGATTCAGGTGTGTTGACCCAGGGTGCGATCTAAAACCTGCAGGACACCGGCACTCGAGGCCTGGAGTTGCCCACCCCTGATTTATTTCATGTGTTTGATTCATGTTGAATTTCCAGTTTCACCAACCTGACGTTTTTATTCATGTCAGCCACAGATGTTTGTTCTGCTGGAAAATAAAACGTCATTCACTGATGACGGTCAGCTTTCTAACCACTGCAGGAAATTTCTCTGCTGAAGAAATATTCTTGTAAAAACTATAAACATACGATTTTAGGCTCGACTTAATAGATGGATATTTCTCTGTAAATGAACTCCTGGTGCTCGTGTTTCCTTCAGAGGAGGCAGCCAGGTTTACAAAGAACCTGTCCAACGTGGAGGGAACAGAGACGAACACCGTGAAGATGATCTGTGAAGTGTCGAAGGCCGGCGCTGAGGTCACCTGGTATCGAGGGGACGAGGAGCTCCCAGAGGGAGGTCGCTACGAACAACAGACGGACGGACGCAAGAGGATCCTGATCATCCGGGACCTGAGGATGGAGGACGCTGGTGATTACAACTGCAGGCTGAGTCCCACCATCAGGACATCCGCCACGCTCAAACTCAACGGTAAAACACGTCGCTCACTTTTTGATTTTATAGAAGAAACTGAAGTCACCAATTACCTACCCGAGTCATTATCTTTCTAAAGTAGTTTCTTTGTAATGATTTCAAAAGCAATCTGAAGAGCAAAACAAAGAACGTGGAGAAATCCACTAATCCACCAAACCTTAACTCCGCCTTCTTCTCCTTTGCAGAACTGGCAGCCGAGTTCCTCGCTCGGCCTCAGAACCAGGAAGTGGTGGAGGGCGAGAAGGCAGAGTTCTCCTGCTCTGTCTCCAAAGACACCTACGAAGTAAAATGGTTCAGAGGAGACAAAGAGATAGAAGCTGGAGACAAGTACGGCATCATCAGTGAAGGAAAACGAAGAGCTCTTATTGTGAAAAGCTGTGAGCTGAAGGATGAGGGAGGCTACACTGCACACATTGGCACTGTTAAAGCCGTGGCAGATCTGCTAGTGATCGGTAAGACACTTATTGTCTTTGTCATATCTTATTACAGATTTCAGAATGCAGGTTTGGTTTTATTAAGTTTGAATTCTGTTTTAGAAAAACTGAGGATCATAACTCCGATCAAAGACACCGAGGTGAAGGAGGGAGGCGAGATCGTGTTTAACTGCGAGACCAACACGGAAGGAGCGAAGGCCAAGTGGCTGAAGAATGAGGAGACCATTTTTGAGAGCAGCAAGTACATGATGGCTCAAAGGGACAACGTCTTCTCTCTGAGGATCAGAGACGCCCAGAAGGCTGATGAGGCCGTCTATACCGTCAGCCTGACCAATCACAGAGGAGAGCTCGCCAAGTGCACTGCCAGCGCTAAAGTGGCAGGTGAGTGGGCAGTAACAGTATCTGAGTGAAGTTACAGGCTGGATTTGACTCTTTAATGAAACCAGGGCCAGCTTCCTGAGTGCTGAGTGCTTCTCAAATTCAAATTCAAATTTTATTTGTCACGTACACAGTCATACACAGTACGATATGCAGTGAAATGCTTGGACAACTGCTCGTGGCCTAAAGAAAACAAAAAGGAAAGGCTATGAATAAGATAGGAAATAAATATGAAAAATTAAAAAGGGTAAATTTAACTAGGAAGGAATAAAATATAAATTAAGGTTAAAAATGAAATAACTGTACAACACAAATTAGAATGAAGGGTAAATTTAACTGGGAGAATAAGATAAAATATATAAATTAAAGTTGAAAATAAAATAACTGTGCAACAAAATACACAATATAGAACTATATAAGAATGTATGAAGAAATATAAATAAATATATACACAATAACAGCAGCTGTACAAGTATTAACCGGAAATGAAGAATATAGTGACCAGTGTTGTGCAAAAACAAAGTCCAGAAAGTCCAGTGTGTGTGTAAGAACCATGTGTGGGTCAGTACTGTGTGGTGTGTGATTGAGAGACCGTATCGCCTGCGGGAAGAAGCTCCTCCTCAGTCTCTCTGTGTTGGTCTTCAGGGAGCGGAATCGCTTTCCTGACCTCAGCAGAGAGAACAGTCTGTTGTTGGGATGGCTGAGGTCCTTCACCATCTTCCTGGCCTTGGTCCAGCACCGCCTGCTGTAGATTGAGTGCAGGTCAGGGAGCTCGGAGCGGATGGTGCGCTCAGCTGACCGCACAACCCTCTGTAGAGCTCGTCTGTCCTGCATGGTGCTGTTCCCGAACCAGGTTAAGATGTTTCCCGTCAGGATGCTCTCTATGGTGCAGGAGCTCTCTCTTTAGTTGTTCTTGTGACTCTACTGTACACACAGCCTTATTTTATTATCTGTATATGGCTCACAGTAATGCTGAAACATATTTAGGAGTTTATACAACGGCTGTCTCCATTATGTTTAATATTATAGCACCTTTTGGCAGGTCAGTGTCCTAAACCTGTTCTCAGTAATCGGAGACGTGACTCTGAAAGACAGATGGATGTGTCAGCTTTGTTATAAAGCAAAGAAAGCTGAAAATCATCTGAAGAATTCAGAATAACTGAAGTTCTGTTTCTTCCAAGAGTATCAGGACGTTTGATCTAAAGCAGCCGTTTCTTGCTCAGTGACTTTGTTGCACGTCCTCCTTTGTTTCTTTACGTTCACCCTGAAATCATTTGGTCCTCCACAGAGGAGAAACTGAGGTTCTTGGAGCCCATCGAGGACAATGACACTCAGGAGAAGAAGACCGTCAGCTTCGTCTGTAAGGTGAACAGGCCCGGGGCGACGGTGAGGTGGCTGAAGGCTGGTCAGGAGGTGACACTCAGCAAACGCATCGTCTACAGAGTCGATGGCCTGAAGCACAGCCTGACCGTTAAGGACTGCATCATGGAAGACGAGGGCGAGTACACGGCCGTGGTCGGAGATGACAAATGTGCAGCTGAGCTGATCATTAGCGAGGCACCCACAGACTTCACGGCACAGCTCAAAGACCAGACCATTACAGAGTTCGAGGATGCAGAGTTCACTTGCAAGCTGAGCAAGGAGAAGGCTGCCGTCAAGTGGTACAGGGAAGGACGAGAGATTCGAGCGGGCCCCAGGTATGACAGATCTGCGTCTGCTGTTGTTTCGATCCAAAGGAACACAAATCAAATGCTAATCAACCAAGAAAATATTCAGAAAGTTAAAATTTGGGATATGTGGTCATGACAGAGGATTACAAAAGCCTGAAGCTTCTGGGACCTTGTGTTACCTTTGATTTAAAATAAAGTGCAGTGGTGTACAGAGGCAAAATTACACAGCTGATGCTGTTATCTAAGTCTTATAGTATCATATACATGACTGTACCAAGTTCCTGATGTTTGTTGTGTTTTTACAGATATCAAATGGAAAAAGAAGGAAAGACGTGCAGACTGATCATTAAGGTGTGCAGGCCTGATGACGAGTGTGAATACGCCTGTGGTGTGGATGAGAGGAGGACGAGAGCGAGGCTCTTTGTTGAAGGTGAGATGTTTGTTTCTTTTTGTCTTCAAAAGCAAAGATTTATTCGACGAATCTTCTTGTGAGATGTGTTCTTATGTTGCGCAGAGACCCCAGTGGAAATCATCAGACCACCGCAGGACGTGTTCGAACCTCCGGGTTCAGACATCATGTTTGAGGTGGAGCTCAACAAAGACAGGGTGGAGGTGAAGTGGATGAGGAACAACATGATCATCGTCCAGGGAGACAAATACCAGATGATCAGCGAGGGTAAAGTCCACAGACTGCAGGTCTGTGAAATTAGACCCAGAGATCAGGGAGAGTACAGGATCGTGGCCAAAGACAAGGATGCCCGGGCCAAGCTGGAGCTGGCAGGTGAGTCAACTTCACATGCAAACAGGTAGTGAAACACATTTCAAGAAATGTTAAAGAAATCACTGATTTAACAGACTTTTAGAAAGTTGTAAACAAACGAATCTTTTCTTGACACTTTATGAAGCATCCAAGTTGTTTTGGGAATATAGTTGTAGACGCAAAGCATAACACGCAGTTTTATTTTAAGATGATATCCACCAGTTTGGACTGCTCTGTGTTATGCAGGGCGAATTAAACAGTACAAATTTCTCCTCTGTCTCTCCTGCAGCTGTTCCAAAGATTAAAACCACCGACCAGAACCTGGTGACAGATGCCGGTAAACCCTTTGTCATGACTGTGCCTTATGACGCGTACCCTCGTGCTGATGCCGAGTGGTTTTTTGAAGGCACCAGTCTTCCTGTCCAGAATATTGACACCTCTTTGGACAAGACCGAGTACCGCCTGAAGAGCCCTGCCAAGGAGGACCAGGGCCGGTACAAGGTGGTAATTAAGAACAAGCATGGTGAAGGTGAAGCCTTTATCAACCTGGATGTGATTGGTGAGTCTGTGATCAGATAACTGCTCAGTCCTCTGTCTGAGGATATCACCAGAGTTTCTGAGTGTTGTCCTGGTGGTTTTCCAGATGTACCGGGACCCATCAAGAACCTGAGAGTGGTTGACACTGTTGATGGCGAGGTCAGTTTGGCCTGGGAGGAACCTGAGAATGACGGTGGCAGCAAGATTATCGCCTATGTTGTAGAAAGACGGGATGTGAAGCGCAAGACCTGGACTGTGGCTACAGACCGTGCTGACACTCCAGAGTACTGCGTCAGTGGCCTGCAGAAGGAATCCTTTTACCTCTTCAGAGTCTGTGCTCGAAACAGAGTTGGCAGCGGACCCGCTGTTGCAACCGAAGATGCCGTCCAGGCCAAAAACAAGTTTGGTAAGCAACACCCCGAGATCCCCGCTCCACTAATCCTACCCCATCTCCACACTCGTCCTAATAATGTCCGTCACATTTTTGTTTCCTAACTTTAGATGTTCCAGATGCTCCTGAAAATGTTGCAGTAGAGTCAGTGAACAAGTTTGGTGCCACCATCACTTGGGAGCCCCCCAAGTTTGACGGTGGCTCTGAGATCACTGCTTATGTGATTGAGCTCCGTGACAGAACATCTGTTAAGTGGGAGGCAGCCTTAGTCTGTGCTGCCGATGACCGCTTGGCTATGCTGAACGACGTGGTGGAGTACAAGGAGTACATCTTTAGAGTCCGAGCAGAGAACAAGGCTGGCATCGGCAGGCCCAGTGCTGCCACCAACCCCGTCAAGATCATGGATCCCATCGGTGAGCTCACTCTCAATGTTTCTATCTAAGTCCTGTGTAGAAATATCAAACAGTCTGATTTTGCTCATGTCTTGTGCCCACAGAGAGGCCGAGCCCACCTCTGAACCTGAACTTTAGTGACCAAATCAAGACAGCAGTCACGTTGACCTGGGAGACGCCCATAAACAACGGTGGCAGCATGATTACAGGATACATCATTGAGAAATGTGAGGACGGCTCTGACAAGTGGCTCCGCTGCAACGCCAGACTGTGTCCCGACCTCTCCTACCGGGTATGCAGCCAACCTGAAGAGTCTGCCTTTATTCTGACTCAACCTCAGCGCAGTTACATTTTTCTTCCTGGTCTGGATTGTTTTGTTGTTTTCTTCAGGTGTCTGGACTAAAACCTGGTCAGAAGTACCTCTACAGAGTTTGCGCTGAGAATGCCGCCGGTGTCTCCGATCCAGCCGAGCAGCTGGGACCACTGCTTGCCGATGATCCTCATGGTGCGTGCAACAAGCATAAACTCAACCAACCACTTCTTCTTTATAAATCCAAGTAGTTCACTGGATGTGCTTTCACAACCAAATGTTTCTCTCTTGGCAGTTGGTCCAACCTTTGATCTGAGTGGCTTCAGGAAAGGCCTGGAGGTGATTGTTCCTCAGCCTCTAACAATTAGAGTTCCCATTACTGGATACCCAACCCCTGTGGCCAAGTGGACCTTTGGCGAGAAGGAGCTGACCCCAGCGGATGAGCGTGTCTCCATGGTGACGAAGCCTACGCACACGGAACTGACGATATCTCCTAGTGTTCGTCCAGACAAAGGCATCTACACCCTGCAGCTGGAGAACGACGTATCCTCTGTCTCTGGAGATATTGATGTCAACGTCATCGGTAAGAACCCATGACCATGTGATCAAGTTTAGCAATGATGGTGCTTATTTTAATAGACAGCTCATTTTATTGTGGTACAGAGATGTCTGTTACCCCCAAATCATCTAGAAACAAACCCAAAAGAAGAAAACTGATGGAAGTCTTTTTCATCTTATTTTCCCAGCATGCCCCAGTGCTCCGAAGGACTTCAAAGTGGCTGAAGTGACCCGTCAACATGTCCACTTGATGTGGGAGGCACCTGAACACGATGGAGGAAGTCCAGTGACACACTATCAGATTGAGAAGAGAGAAGTTTCTCGCAAGACATGGGCCAAGGTATTTTCAGCTCATTTGAGTAATGTTATCTTTGGCGCTGTACGTAATAAAAATATTTCAGCTCATCACAAAATGTAAACTGAGTGAATTACCTGGTTTTGTGTGAAAAAGTAACCGCCTTCTAAAAATAATACATGAATGTGCAGCTCCTTTCTGAGCTACCAAAGAAAAGTTTTAGAGGTTTACAGATGGCGCAAAATGCAGCTGCTTGCTTTTTAACTAAAACTGGAAAATTTGAGCACATTCGAGCAGATTCTAAGCTGCTCACCTACAAGGCTTTCACTGGTTTGGCACCTTAATACCTCTCTGATCTTTTGCACCTTTATGTTCCATCTCGTGCGCTCCGATCTCAGGACTCTGGCCTTCCAAAGGTTCCTAAAGCCAGAAAAAGACAGTTGGGGAGCGTGCTTTTTCTTTTCGTGCCCCGTTTTTGTGGAACAACCTCCCTCAAGATATTAGGCAGGCTGCTCTGTGGGGGGTTTTAAAGCTAAGTTGAAGACACACTTGTTCAGCTTATCCTACAGGTCTTAATTCTTTGCCTATTCGTTTTTTAAATGTTTATCATTTTTAACTCTGCTTATGTTTTTAACTTGTGTTGCTATGTATCACTTTTATTTATTTATCTCTTTATTTTCAAATCGCTGTACAGCACTTTGTTTGAAAGCGCTTTATAAATAAAGTTATTGTTATTGTTAGCAGCAGTGTTGTTAGGTTTCAGGGCCTGGCTCAAACATGGCACGTGACATGTTGGCTTTTTTATTTTTAAAAACAGAAAACATTACTTCCACAGTGTGAAATAATGTTCACAGACCCAGAAGTCTACCCAGGTCTGAGTTTATTTGTTCAGCAGTGACAGTGACATTTTTCCAGGTGGCTGCTGGCGTCCTTGACCTGGAGCACACGGTAACAGACGTGATTGAAGGAAAGGAGTATCTGTTCAGCGTCTCTGCATGCAACAAGTGCGGACCTGGAGAGCCAGCCTACATCGATGAGCCCATCAATGTCTCTTCTCCTGCAAGTGAGTGTTTTTACACTTCATGTGAAATTAATTGTCTTTGAGTGGAGAAACTGACAGATAACTAGAATCTCACCTGTTTGACGTTCACGTATTTTCTCCTGCAGCTGTACCTGATCCACCTGAGAACCTTAAGTGGCGCGATAAGAGTGCCAAGTCCATTTTCCTGTCCTGGGAGCCTCCAAAATACGATGGTGGTGCCCATATTAAAGGCTACGTGGTGGACAAGTGCCAGCGTGGTACAGACAAGTGGGAACCCTGCGGTGATCCCCTCCCTGAACTCAAGTAAGACTTAAGAACTTGTAACTGCCGGTTAAGTTTTTTGGGCCACACGTTATTAGTGTCCTGTCTTTATTTTGGTACAGCTGGATATATTATATGATTTGAAATCACAGGTTCCAGGTTACCGGCCTGGTCGAGGGCCAGTGGTACGCCTACAGAGTCAGAGCTTTTAACAAGCTGGGAGCCAGCCGACCTTGCAGGGCTACCGATGAGATCCAAGCTGTGGATGCTAAGGGTAGGACGGGTTGTGCTCTTCCAGACAGTCACATGACGCTGCAGCCACACACTGCACAAAAAGTGCAGCAGTATAATTTATTTTTGTAATGGATTCTGCAGACTCACTCAGAAATGTGCAGCATCTCTCAGTGATACAGGAGCAAATCTTTCTTATGACAAATAAAAGAATAAGTGAGAATGTGTGGATTTTAAGGATATTACCATCAAGGTTTCAGGCATAGTTGTGATAATATAATATAAGACACATTTCATTTCTCCAAAAGGTGGAAATTCATTTGTTAAAGCAGAACAATTTTATAACTAATTGGCTTAAATAAGCAGAATTATATATAGTTCAGCCAAATAAAATGCAGTATGGCACATATCTGCCGAGAATACACAGTTTTGCAGCTCTATATACACATGAACAGTATTTAGAAAAAAGGAAAAAATATATATATTTAATGTACAAATATACAAATCTGGGGAAAAGAGGAATTAAATACATAAATAAATGGTGTTATGTATTTACAGTTTGGGTTATTGCATGTAAAATTAAATATTGGACAGTTGTGAGTTATTGAGGGGAAACTGAAATGAACATATATTTATAGAAGCACAAATTGAAATGAAACACAGTAATGAAGTTGGGACAACTGTGACTATGTTTAAAAATTCCTACAGAACCTCCTGAGATCCAGCTCGATGTGAAGTTGCTGGCTGGATTAACCACCAGAGCTGGCAGCAAGATTGAGCTTCCTGCAGATGTGAAAGGGAAGCCCGATCCCCGGGTGAAGTGGACCAAAGCAGACGTGGTCCTGAGGGCTGATAACCGCATTGCCATCGACACCCAGCCAGGACACTCGAAGGTTTCCATTGACAACACCACCAGAGGAGACACCGCCACCTACATCATTGAGGCAGTCAATGCCTGTGGACGAGCCACTGCCACTATTGATGTCAACATCCTGGGTACAAAAGCTGATTTCTTATCGTAGAAGACAAATGATAGCTGTGATGGCAATGAAAACATGAGAGTAAACTTCCTTTACTGTGGAAATCCTAGAGTTCCTTACAGCTACAGGATTTTCATGCTACCAGGTGATTTTAAGTTAGTCAGAAAATGGGAAAAGCATCTCCTTTTTTAATTAAAGATATGAAAATAATCTTAGCATAACATACTGGACAGACCATTTTATAGGGTTATCCTATATCGCCGAGCCTGCTAAGCAGTTGTGGCACCTCCAGATGTCTTGCATTACCATTATCTTGGTTATGATTTTAATTTTGGCCCCTCCTCTTTAGATAAACCGGGTCCTCCAGCTGCTTTAGATATCTCTGAAATCACCAACGAATCCTGCGTCCTGGCCTGGAACCCTCCCAGAGATGATGGTGGGTCTCCCATCACCAACTACATTGTGGAAAGTCGTCAGACTGACAAGGAGGAGTGGGTCAAGCTGTCAGCCACGGTGAAGCACACCACCTTCAAGGCCACCAAGCTCACAGCATTGAAAGAGTACATTTTCAGGGTCAGTGCTGAGAACCAGTATGGCATTGGTGAACCTGCAGAGCATGTGCCAATCACTGCCAAGTATTCCTTCGGTACGTTGTTTTATACTACTCTCCAGTGATTTATTTCCAGCCTGTGCAGGTGAACCGTAGATAAATCCTTTTATTTTTCATCTGTTTCAGATCCTCCGGGTCCTCCAACCAGAATCACTCCCTCTGACATCGCCAAGGACGCTGTCACTCTGACCTGGTTAGAGCCTGACGAGGATGGCGGTAGCCCCATCACTGGATACTGGATTGAGAAGTTAGATCCGGAGAGTGACAAGTGGATCAGATGTAACAAACTACCCATCACCGACACAACATTCAGGTAACTAAGTACCTGAAGGTACAAGTGGCAGGAGTGATGGTGAAAGTCCTTCAGCTAACAGTGTGGACCATTTTTTTTGTCAAGTATGTTTCTAACTTTGAATTTTGGGCTGCAGGGTAAAGGGTCTCACCGCCAAGAAGAAGTACCGCTTCCGTGTTCTGGCTGAAAATCTAGCTGGACCTGGAAACCCAAGTGCAGAGACTGATCCCATCCTCATCAAAGATCCTATTGGTATGTCACATGTCAGTCAATCTACTTAGGCTGAGTCAGATGTTGTGGTATCAAGATTATAATTTCCTTATTGCAAAGCACAGCACAAAGATCAGGAAATAAAAGTATTCATATAACTCTTCTTCAGATCCTCCATGGGCTCCTGGTAAACCTGCCATCAGGGACATTGCCAAGACCTCAGCCCTGTTAGGATGGACTCGTCCAGAGCACGATGGTGGGGCTAAGATTGAAGGCTACATCATTGAGTTCCAGAAGGCTGGAAGCGAGGAATGGATCAAGATTGCAGAGGATGTTCCTCAGACTGAGCATCAGCTGAAGGGCCTAATAGAAAAGCAAGAATACTCTTTCAGAGTCAGGGCCGTCAATAAGGCTGGTGAGAGCGAACCCAGTGAGCCCAGCGACCCCGTGGTCTGCAAGGAGAGACTCTGTAAGTTGATACCAGTGTGAGCAGTGGGCAGCAAATGACGTCTGTAGAGGTTATAGACTATAAAATATAAGCTATCAAGAGTTGTTTTCATTTGGAAAACCATACGACCTTGAATTTAATTTTTTTAATAAAAGTCTTTGTGTTTGCTTCAATAGATCCTCCATCAGCTCCTCAGTGGCTGGAGGTGGCGAACATCACCAAAATTAACGCAGACCTAAAGTGGCAGCCTCCCAGCAGTGATGGCGGCTCACCCATCACCAACTACGTGGTTGAAAAGAGGGACGTGAGGCGGAAGGCGTGGCAGACTGTCGATACCACCGTCAAGGAACAGAAGTATACGGTTACCCCTCTCAACGAAGGATCGCTGTATGTGTTCCGGGTTGCTGCAGAGAATGCCGTTGGGATGGGTGAATTTTGCGAGCTGGAGGATGCCGTTCTTGCCAAGGACACTTTTAGTGAGTTTTTTAAGTCAGCATTAGTCTTCCCCTTTTAATTTACTTCTTTGTGAAACCCAAGGAACCACTATCTCTACGTGTTAATGCTTTTCACTTTTTCTCCAGCAACTCCTGGACCTCCTTATGCACTGACAGTGGTGGAAGTCACCAAGAGACACGTGGAGCTGAAGTGGGAACCTCCCAATAGCGATGGTGGAAGACCAATAACAAAGTAAGACAAACTGCTGTAAAGCCATTCAGACGAGAACAATTATAGGACACTTTTTGGTGGGTTTTTCCATAAAGCAGCGCATTCAGACTTTCAGTAAGAGAACTCTAAAGTGAGACAAAAGACGTGGTTTATCTCATACTGTTCCAGAGCTGTACTTGACAAACACCATCTGCCTAACAGGTATGTGATTGAGAAGAAAGAAAAGGTGGGAACTCGCTGGCTGAAGTGCTGCAAAACTCCGGACAGAAAGACTCAGTTCAAGGTAACGGATGTTGATGAAGGTTCAGAAGTGCAGTTCCAGGTCAGAGCTGAGAACGAGGCTGGAGTTGGAGATCCAAGTGAACCCACCGTGATTCTCACCATTGAAGATCCAACCAGTAAGATACTTTTAACTGTATTTCTTTATTCTTTTGGTGCTCAGTGTATTTAAGCAGGGATATCCCCCCAAAATAATCCCAACAATAATAAAATAAGGACAAAAAGTTGTTGACTTTCTGCAGATAAATGCATGAAACCTCCTTCCTCTCCAGGTGCACCATCACCTCCACTTGAAGTGGTCATCCCTGATGCCAGCAGGGAGCACATCAATGTCACCTGGAAGCCTCCGGTCAAGGACGGGGGTTGTCCTGTCACTGGGTACCATGTGGAGGTGGCAGAAGCCCGTCCAGAACTAAAGTGGCTCAGGGTCAACAGCAGACCCATCAAGGAGCTAAAGTTCAGGATAGATGATGGAATCAAACCTGAGAAAAAGTATGTCATTAGGGTTCGGGCCATCAACTCTGTCGGAGTCAGTGATCCCTCTGATGTCTCTGATAAGGTCGCCACCAAAGATCCTGACTGTAAGCAAGGACGGAATTCAACTTTAGAACTTCAGAAGTAGTGAACTTAAAGCACCGATAATACAAATCTAAGTAATAATCCTGTGTTCTTCTCACAAGGTGCTCCAACCATGGATTTGGAAGCAAAGGATGTGATAGTGGTTGAAGGTGAGAAGCTGCACCTGAATATTCCCTACAGGGCAATCCCGACACCCAAGATGGTTTGGCAGAAGGACACTGTGGAGTGTAAGGCCGGTGACCGGCTCTCCCTGACAGTGGAGATGAACAGCGCCCACCTGGAGCTGCTCAAGTGCAGCCGCGGTGATGCTGGCGCCTATGCCATCACTCTGGAAAACAGTCTGGGAACTGCCACTGGAACCGTCAATGTCAAAGTCATCGGTAAGGCAATTCGATGCTTAGGACATATAACACTGCTAATATGCCGTTCAGCGATGGTGTCCTCTGCAAACCAAATTTAAAGTTTACCACCAACAATTTCCAAGTTTGGATTTAGATCCATTCTTAGTCTAAAAGTCCTCAAGCAGACTCACTATTTCTTTTTTTAATCAGACACAGACACTCTGCAGTAATCTTCTTAAACAGTTTTGCTTCTTTCCCAAACCGTGTAGGACTCCCTGGTCAGTGTAAAACTATCACCTCCAGTGACGTCACCAAGAACAGCTGCAAGGTCAGCTGGGAAGCTCCAGAGGATGATGGCGGCACCCCCATTGTCAGCTATACCCTGGAGCGCCGTGAAGCGTCCAAAAAGACTTACATGCCTGTTATGTCAGGAGAAAATGTCCTAACAAGTACTGTCAAAGATCTCTTTGTCAACTGTGAGTACTACTTCAGGGTGAAAGCTGTCAACAAGGTCGGAGCGGGACAATATCTGGAGTTACAAAACCCGGTCATTATAGAGGAAATAAAACGTAAGTTTCATTTTATGTTCAACAACTAAAATCTGTTTTATTGCTTTGAGCATTAACATTACCATTTCAGATAAAGTTTAGTCTGAAAAAGCACATGAATACTTTCCAAACTATGCTGCAAGTGAAATGATCTTCATAAACTGTCCCGTCAATACAAAAATGAGGACCGATTTAGTCAGGTGATTCTGATACAGGACAACTGACAGGGGGTCCAAGCAGATCAAGTGTAACTCCTAAAATATGAGGCATAAACAACTGGAACATCAAAACATCAGACATTGACTCTGTTGTTAATATTGATTGCACAGAGAAACCAGACCCACCCATCCAAGTGGAGGCTCATGACCCAACGTCCAAGTCCATCACAGTCACCTGGAAGGCTCCAGACTACGATGGCGGCTGTCCCATCCAGGGCTACATCATAGAGAAGATCGAGAAGGACGGCGACCGCTACGAGAGGGTCACACCAAGCCTGGTCCCTGGTTTCTCCTACGTGGTGATGGGCCTAAAGGAGGACATGGAGTACCAGTTCAGGGTCAGAGCTGAGAATGCTGCCGGAGTCAGTGAGCCATCACGCAGCTCACAGCCCATCAAGGCTGCAGACCCTGTTGGTGTGTGAAAGTCAAATGCACTAACATCAGTGACTGTCACAAGTAAATGTGTATTTATGTTGGAGCTAACATGTCAAAATCGTTCATTCCTTGCAGAAAAACCCAAGGTCACCCTGCACGCCCGTGTTCAATCTGGGCTCTGCATCAAGAAAGGTGAGGAAATCTGCATTGACGCCTACATCTCTGGCTCCCCATATCCCAAAGTCACCTGGCTGAGAAATGATGAGGATGTCGCCAAAGAGCCCACCAAGAAGTTCATTCCTGTTATCAAGAAGAAGAAGACCAAAGCCAAGGTTTGTGTCTTCACTGAGACATCTGAAAGTCCTGAATGTTTCAAGTGTTTCAACCTTTCTGATTTCTTGCTGCAGGTTCCAGAACCAGAGGAGGAGTTTGTGACTCCCCTGCGTGAGCGTCTGGGTATAGACCAGACCAAGAAGGGACAATCTGCACTGATGATCCGTGATGCCGTCAGAACCGATCACGGCAGCTTCACTATCAAGGTGGAAAACACACATGGTGTTGCCACCGCTTCCTGCGTCGTCAACGTCCTAGGTAATAAAGTTTACCGATTAACTGGAGGCCACATGATTAGATTTCATAACTGGTATATTCACACAGTTAAAAGCGTCTGTGAGGTTCTCCATTATATGCAAGGATTCACAACAGATCCACATATTTAACTTTGGCACAGTGTTTCTGACATAAGCCTACCTGGGATTCTTTCTTCTCCCAAGTTTGATTCAGAAATTGACTTCAGTTCAGATTTTTTTCTTATAGAACCAATTCTTAACAACAGTTGGCTCAAACCTTTCAGGTAGGGAGTGCAATATCAAAGAGAAAACCTCAACAATCTTGATTAGGCAAACATGTTTACTACAGAGCCGCTACCATAGTTAAACAATTATTCATTTCCAAAATGCCGTTGAGATTAAACATTGGCTTGACTGTCTTGTATTGCAGACAAACCTGGTGCTCCGATTAACTTCACCTTTGATGAGATCAGGAACACGTCGGTCATCTGTAACTGGGAGCCTCCTGAGGATGATGGTGGCAGCGAGATCCTGAACTACATTCTGGAGAAGAAAGACAACAAGAAGGACGAGACTGGCTGGATCACCGTCACTTCTACCCTGAAGGGCACCAGCTGCCCCGTCACCAAGCTCATCGAAGGGAAGGAGTACATCTTCAGAGTCACTGCAGAAAACAAGTATGGCTGTGGTCCACCGTGCATCTCCGAACCACTCGTCGCCAAGAACCAGTTCAGTGAGTAAAAGCATAAAAATAATAAAGACTGTGATGACTGATAACAATCAGCTGTAAAAAAACAAACAAACTTCAAAAGTAATTATACCTCCTTTTTTATGTAATTTAGTGGTAATTTAACGGTGTCACAATAACGTATTTTGGACTTTAAAAATATAAAAAATACACAAATTTCTTAAAATTGATTCTTTATATTTTGTAAGAATAATTTGCATTTATTAACAGATGCAAAAATGTCTGAATTACTGCAGTTACTGGTATTTCTTTAAAACATGTTCTATGTCACATATGAAAATAAGCATCTATGCAGTATGTAAATAAAATCAGTGTGTTATTTATAAATCTGTTTAGCTTTTATTTTTAATTATTTCATGTATTCAACATTTTGTGCTTTCAATTATAAGTAATTTTTTCCGTTCCGCAAAGGTTGATTCTGTTCATCTGGACATTTCAGCGGGAGAAACGTTTTGTCACTCATCCAGGTGACGTCTTCAGTCTCAGCTGACTGCAGGTCTCAATCTTATAAACAGGACATTTGCATAATGACTGAAACCAGCCCACTGAAGGAACAATGGGCTGGGAGGTCAGTTCACTGATCATTAATATACAATTTGACATGATCATTGAACAACCACTGATCAATGGCCATGAGTCCCACCCACAGAGAGTTGAGGAATGGCTGCAATCACAGCATTGTAAGATGGAAACAGATGTACCCTTAGGCCCCTCCTCGATTCAGAGATGGTCTTTCCCTTTTAAGTAAATGGCCTCCTCCTAAACGGTTGTCCTTCTCTCCTGGATCGGCTGGAGCTTTCTTTGACAAAAGTCCAGCTGGGATAACCACAGTTACTCAGGGCCTTCTTGATGTTCTTCTGCCTCCCTGGCTGCTGTGTCAGTGGGGATGGTGTTCGCTCTGTGTTGTAGCGTCTTGATGACGCCCAGTTTGTGCTCCAGTGGATGATGGGAGTCAAACCTTAGATACTGATCCGTATGTGTAGGTTTACGGTACACGTCAGCTTTTAGATGTCCCCCATTACTGATGGAAATCTCACAGTCTAAGAAGGCTAAGCTGCCACTGTTCATATCCTCCCTGGTGAATTGGATGTGTCGGTCCAACGAGTTAATGTGATCCGTGAAATGTAGTACATCGTGAGATTTGATTTTCACCCAGGTGTCATTCACATATCTGAACCAATGGCTTGGTGGTGTTCCAGGGTAGGATAGCAAAGCCCTCTTTTCCACTTCTTCCATGTACAAATTGGCCACGATGGGTGAAACTGGGGAGCCCATGGCACACCCATGTTTCTGCCTGTAGTACTGACCCTTGTATGTGAAGTAGGTGGAATGAAGACACAGTTCCAAAAGCAAACTCTTAGGTTTATATTGTTGGATTGTCATTTATGCTTAGAAACATATAAGCGCTCGTCTCGGGCATCTCCCTCGTGCACGTCATCATACAAAGAGCTCTGGTGACTTGTTTTTGCTGTTGTAGTAGAATTGTCTCGTACCAGCAATAGGTCTGTGCTAGACAAACCTATCACAAACACACTTGGTCGATGCTGAGATTGGTCCTGTTGCTGAGGTTGGGGTCATCCTGTAATCTCTTATGAACTACCTCCGGTGCTTCAGTGACTGGCACACAAGTGAAGAGAGATGTAACATCATACGAGACCATGGTTTGATCTGCCTCCATGATGGCATCTCTCACCTTCTCAACAAAACCCAGGGTTTAAGTGTCCATCTGTCACCATCTTACATGCTGTGATTGCAGCCATTCCCCAGCTCTCTGTGAATGGGACTCATGGCCATGGATCAGTGGCTGTTGATCAGTGGTTGTTGATCGATTGTCAATGCATATTAATGATCATAAACTGATCACAGTCCATTGTTCATTCAGTGGTGCTGGTTTCAGTCATTGTACAAATGTGCTGTTTATAAGGTTGGAGACCTCAGGTCACCTGATGATGATGAAACGTTTCTCGCACTGAAAACATCCAGGTGAACACAATCAACCTTTTGGGATTTGGGATGACTGGGTGTGCATCCAGACAATATTTCACATTATCCATTTTTAAATACTAAAAGTTAAATACATCCTTAAAATACTCATAAATTCAATTTTTAATGATCAGTTACAGGTTATAGTGAAGTCAAAAAATATGGAAACAATTTAACATGATTGACATAAACTGACTTTTAGTTTCTGTTAAAGCAAATGATTTGTTAAAGCAGTTGTTTTTCTTTATACAAGCAGCAACACTGTTTGACTCTGGCACAATATGGCACAACCTTATGGCCATATTGTGAAGGTAACAATGAAGACATCTCTTCCCAGTGTTCGTCAAATGTGCAAAGACCGTTAAATATAAAGTCACCTATATTCTCCTTTGTGCTCAGGTCCTCCTGATGCTCCCAACACTCCCAGAGTCCACGAGGTGACGGCAAGCACCGCGCACATCTCCTGGCATGAGCCAAAGGACAATGGAAGCCCCATCCTGGGTTACTGGATCGAGAGGAAGGAGGTGAACAGCAAACACTGGACCAGAGTCAACCGAGCCCTCCTCAACTCTCTCGAGGTGAAGGTGACTGGCCTGATGGAGGGCTTGACCTACATCTTCAGGGTCTGTGCTGAGAATCTGGCTGGCCCCGGGCCCTTCAGTGATCCGACCGATCGCATTGTCGCCATGGATGAAATCCGTGAGTGCAATACCAAAAGAGAACTTCAAAGAGAAAGCTCACATTTTCTTAAGTGTAGCATCAGATTTTTTGGTTTGATCTACTTCTTTCTAGTCATCACACCTGAGATGAGTAAAGTTAACACATTCTTATGACTGATAAAGATGTTTCAAAAGTTGTCCTGCAAACTTTATTAAATCTTCAAAATCTTCATCGACAAGAAATTATTTTAGTCTTTTTAATTATCAAAATTATGAATGACACATTTCTCATAAATAGAGAAAACTGCATATATGCTGCTGAAGGAAGAACTTGATTGTGTAGCAGTAAAGACCAAGTGCAGCCTATCATTGTTCCACTCTTCCACTCAGTGCCTCCTGGTCCACCAATTCCATGGATCGTGGACACCGGGAAGGACTCTGTTGTTGTGGCGTGGAAGCCCCCGCTGTACAATGGTGGTGGAGACATCCTGGGATACCACGTTGAGAAGGTCTGAAAAACTCTGTGAAGTAACCTCCTTGAATTACACGTTTAATAATCAGTAAATCTCCAACTGTGGGTCTTTCGTAAGAATCATGGATGTGGACGTGGTCAAACTCTTGTGCTCTTGTCACAGGTTCTGGCCGGAGAGAAAGACTGGAGCCGCAGCACCGAGTTCAGGTGTAAAGAGCTGACGTACACTGTGACCGGCCTCACTGAGGGAGCAGATTATTATATCCGGGTTCTTGCAGTCAATGATGCAGGCCCAGGAGCTCCTGGTGTTACTGAACCCGTTACCGTCAAAGAGCCCCAAGGTACCAGAAGTTCTATTACAGGGGCAAGACGCACTTTTACATATGCATTTTTAATGTGGGACAGTGTTTATAACTGTGCCTCACAAAACAGATGGCTTTCCAGTTCTGATTAACGGCTTGTGTCCTGCAGAATCTCCTGTTGTGGATTTCGATGACTCTGTGAAGAACGGCGTCATGATTAGGGCCGGCGAGTCTCTGAGGCTTCCTGCTGTGGTCCGTGGTCGACCCCAGCCGGAGGTAAAATGGGCCAAAGATGAGGCTGAAATCGACAAAGAGAGGATGATTGTGGAGACCGTGGGGAAGAACAGTACATTGTTCATCAAGAAGGCTGTGAGGGCAGATCACGGAAAGTACCAGATCACCGGCACCAACAGCAGCGGGAGCAAGACCGCCGAGACAAGAGTGGATGTTATGGGTTAGTGTTACATAAATTCAGTTATTTTAGGACTAATAAACTCGCTTTTTGAACTCAGAACACAAATGTGCATTTTTTTCTTTTGCAATCCAGAAGCACGTTGTGGTCTTTGAAGGGAACGATAGAACTGACTTCCGATTAGACTTTACTGTTGAAATCTAAATCATGTAATAAAAACTGTTATGTTCACATGAAATGTTTTTCCTGGTTCCTGCAGATGTTCCTGGGCCGGTGGTTGACTTGAAGGCTGTTACAGTTACCAAGAAGAACATCGTCCTCACCTGGTCTGACCCCGTGGATAATGGTGGCAGCGATATCATTGGTTATGAGGTGCTAAAGAAGGATGCCAATATGAAGCTCTTCCGCCAGCCCATTGAGACTGCATCCTGCAAGTGTGATGTCCAAGGCCTGCTGGCTGGCGAGCAGTATGATTTCAGAGTCATTGCCAGGAACAAGTATGGTGATGGACTTCCAGCAGACCTGGGTCCCATCTTAGCTGAGGATCCAAAAGGTGAGCTTACCAAATATGTCTTGATGCTGCTGTTAGCTCACACTTTAGGGCATTAATTAAGCCTGATGAAAAATTCAGTGGCCTGATGATCCAATTTTTTCAGTGATGGCTAAATTCTTTCAAAATGTTGCAGGTACACCATCTGCCCCAGAGAAACTGCACTACACCAACAGAAGCAAGAACACCATCACTCTGGCCTGGCAGCCTCCTCGCACTGATGGTGGCAGCCCCATCAGAGGATACTATGTGGAGAAGATGAGGTCTGACAGCACCGAGTTTGAAGTGGCCAACCGCAAGATCTTCACTGAGTGCTGTGGAACCATTGAGAACCTGTCGGAGAACCAGGAGTATGACTTCCGTGTCAAAGCCGTGAACGAGGTTGGAGAAGGAGATCCATCCAAAAGAATCACCGTCAAGATCCAGGATGATGAGAGTATGTTCAAAGTCTTAAGGCCCTATCACATTCACATGTGCAAAACCAATAGAAATAAAGCGTATAGCTGCGCAAAGTTCAACCACAATGTGAAGGAAAAGATTCTGTGCGCTTGAGTTCGAGCCTTTAAGCCTTCAACAGCTCTGCGGACCTCAGGAGGAAGGCAGTGTTGTGGAAAGGACACGCTCTTCACTAGTCGGGATAGTTACAAAGCTTTCTTCTTTATGAATAAGTGATACATGTTTTATGAAATATTTGAGCATAATACAACACGAACTCTCGTAGAGGATATCAAATCAAAGAGATGTTTTGAAATGATAAGCAGGCACATTTATAGTACACGTAGAGTGGCTGCAAAAAACAGACTTCCAAGCAGAGGCCCCACAAATTTTGGGCCCTTGGCTTTAGTTAGCAGTCAGTGCAACACATGCCATATCTGATGTGAAAGGGCCTAAAGGTTATGATGATACTTTACTTTTGTCAGGCTGATAAAGATTTGACACAATTTCCCAATTTTGTTGGCCAAAGTTGCTCCCAGCATTACAATCTTGAAATTCATCAAGAGCAACGCCATCAATGTGAGGAAAGGCGCCGCCATCGACATCCCAGCAGAAGTGAGGGGACTTCCTCTGCCGACACTGCAGTGGATGAAGGATGACGTCGTGATCGAGAAGACCGATGAGGAGAAGATGACGATGGAGACTGAGGAGGTCAGAACTAGTTTTAGTTTTATGGTATTATTATTCAGTGGAGCTACTGGTTTCACAGGAAGAAGTTCCCACATTTATTTACTTATGCATGTACGTTTGCCTATGTTTTTGTGTGACGAATGAATTTAAGCCACACTGTTGTTCATTTATATCTATTTGTCATGTTGAATGTTGGAGCAATGGAGAACATTTTTTACTGTTTCATCATTGGCACAGTTAATATAAAAGCAAAATCCTGCTTTACAGAGGATGAACGGATCTCTGACCCTTCGCACTCTGGATTTTAGAAATAGTTAGATCCTCAACAAATTAAGTTGTTTTATCTTCAGGTGGACCGGACAACCATAAGGACGAAGATCGCCATCCCAGAAACCATAAGGCAGGACAAAGGCAGCTACAAGCTGGTTGCTGAAAACTGCCACGGGAAAGCTCAGCAGATCATCAAAGTCGAGATCCTCGGTAAAACCTAAAATTCTGTTTGTATAATTTTAATGGCTTGTGTTTAACACTGCATCTTTTCCAATGTTTCACGTTAAATATGCAGTATTTAAACATTATTTTTCATCCCGATTGCTGAGCTGTACATGAATTTAACACTGCATTTTCAGACCGTCCTCTTCCTCCACGGAACATCGTGGTCTCAGACATCAAAGCAGACTCGTGCTACCTGACCTGGGACGCTCCAGAAGACAATGGAGGAAGCGAGATTACTAACTACATTGTTGAGCGCAGAGATGCAAGCAAGAAAAAGTCTGACTTTGATGTTCTCACCATCAACCTCATTGACAGGAGATATGGGGTAAGACTTGGCTGCAGAGCATGGATGCTACACAGACTTATTCAAAATGAATAATAATGAATCATTTTGTTGTATTAACGATAAAAGCAGTTTGTCTACAGACAAATACACAAGTCAGAACATTAAAAACTATTCCAGTAATCAAATAAGAAACGTTTCTGTTTTTATTAGAAATGTTATTATTATCAAAATAGTCCTACACAAACAGCTATTCAACCTTAATGCCTGATCAAGAACAAAATGTTTCCTGCTTCTTCAGGTGTACAAACTGGACTTGAATGGTAGCTACCAGTTCAGGATCAAAGCTGAAAACAAATATGGCGTCAGTGATGGCTGCGACTCAGAGAAAGTCCAGCTGCGGGATCCATTTGGTCTTCCTGGACCTCCACGTAATGCAAAGATTATTGCTGCTACAGCGACCACAATGACCGTGACTTGGGATCCCCCTCTGGACAACGGTGGTTCCACCATCCAGGGATATTGGCTGGAGAAGAGGGAACGTGGTGCTGTTTACTGGGGTCGTGTCAACCGAGCTCCAGTCACCAAACCGGCAGTGAAAGGCCTGCAGTACACCGTGCTGAAGCTCATAGAAGGAACAGAGTACCAGTTCAGGATTTCAGCCTGCAATGCTGCTGGTGTTGGACCGCCCAGCGAGGCCACAGAGTGCCGCTTTGCTGTGGATCCATGCAGTGAGTGACCCCAGACCAGCTTTGTTAATCCATGATTCAGATTTAGACTGGAAGACAGAGATTTGGATAAAAACACTGCTTTATATTTTTGGGTTATTTTTTTGCGCTCTAATTTAGATGATTTCATATGAGTAAAACCAAAGTTCCCTTTTCATTCTGTAATAATGAAAGGACGCAGACACACCAATGACTAAAATCTCCAAAACTAGGTAACTCACACGAAACCATTCTAGGTGATAGACAGCACTTCAGGTTCAAAATGTGCACATTGGATTATTAGGTAAAATAAAAAAGTCAAGTTAGACAGCCTGACCCCTCCGTTCTTCTTCCTTAGACCCCCCAAGCATACCTGGAAATCCTGAAATTAAAGACAAGACCAAGAGCAGCGTCACTCTAACCTGGACCCCACCGGACAAAGATGGCGGGAGCCCAATCAAGGGTTACATTATAGAGGTTCATGAGGAGGGCTCTCCTGATTGGAGGAGAGTGAATCCTGCTGATAAGCTCCACCCCTCCACTGAAATCACTGTACCTGACCTGAAGGAAGGCAAGAAGTGCAAGTTCAAGATTTACGCGGTGAACTCTGCTGGAAACTCAGAGCCTGCTAGGACTGGTGACATCCTGGTTCAGGACATCCTGAGTAAGAGATACAAACACAGATAAGAACCTCTGTTTAATACAGACCTGGACATAACAGACATGTTTTCATTTTCACCAGAGTTTTAATATTCTCATTCTGATTTGTGCAGCATAATTCAATACCGATTTAAAAGCAGAGCTTACATTAAGGACAGGATCAAACAGGACAGTGTGCCATGTGTGTCATGAACTCAAGGAAGGCATGTTTTCCTCCGATGTTTTTTCTCTCCAGTTGAGCCAACGGTGACTCTCGATGTGACTGCTCACGACCTGCTAAACTGTAGAGCAGGAACAACCATTAAGATTCCTGCCACCATCACCGGCCGACCCGTCCCCAAAGTCACCTGGACGTTCGATGGAACGGCTGAGACTGAGAAAAAGAACGATCTACACACTCTGCCGATTGACTCAGAGGTCAGACGTCCATATATTCTGTCCAAATGACATATTTTAATATTTTAAAATATATTCAGCTCATTCCTCTAAAGAAGGGTTTGAAAGATTATTCAGCCCTGATAATCTTAGAAGACAAAAACTTTACTGTTTTTATGGTTTGCAATCTGAATTATGGCTCAGCCAAGTTAGTGCTGAATGTGTTAAGGAGAGGGTGAAATTCTTGTCGCAGATCCATTCCACCGACACAACCTCAGTGATTGTGATCCCAGCCTGCAAACTAAACCACAGTGGCAGATACATTATCAACGCAGAGAGCCCTGCTGGACACAGAGTGGTCAAAGTCAGAGTCAGCGTCCTCGGTAAGGCTTTTCACACTGACACACCTGGCAGGGTGCTACAAAGTGTGTAATGACTACAATAGAAGTAAATGTACAAATTAAAGAAGGATATGTTAATTAAGTTAATTATGTCCAATTAGCAGTTTAAAATATGCCAAAAAACATTGAGTCTCTCTGTCTTTGACTGATTGTTACCCGGCAGACCTGCCCGGACCTCCCAGAGACCTGAAGATTAGTGACGTGACCAGGGGAACATGCAGACTCACCTGGAAACCCCCAGAGTGTGATGGAGGAGAGAGGGTTAAGAGCTACTTTATTGAAAAGAAAACAGCAGAGGGAAAAGCATGGACCAAGGTACAGCCTGCAGAATAACGGACATTAAGCTATACACTGTTTTGCTCCCATGTATTTGACGCTGATCTTGTTCTTCCAGGTAAACCCGGCCTGTGCTGCTCAGTCTCTGGTGGTGCCAGATCTGAATGAAGGCCAGGAGTACTTTTTCCGTGTACGTGCTGAGAACCGCTTTGGGTTTGGCCCCTACATCGCAAGCATTCAAAGGACCAAGGCCAGAGATCCAATCCGTACGTTCGATTTTTATTATCATCTATTATTTCCTGCTCTGGCTCATCTAAACAGATGGGTTTTATACACAGAAACCTTTAGTATAGCATAATACCTTACCGTTTGTACACAGTGTGCAAATCCAATATAAACCAAACTATCTTATCTGTTTTCTACTTTGGTATCGTGATGTTCAGAGCATGTGCAGATGATACTGTCAGACATACACAGAAAAAGCGCACTATTCCCAGCAATGTGACCTTAACAAACATCTAACAAAGTGTTGCTGAACAAATTAAAATTGCTTCTGTACACTGTAATTTGATTTTATAGTGTAGACCATAGGTGTCAAACTCTGGCAGCCTACTTACATTTGGCCCGTGAAGCCACACCAAGTTACTATCAGAGCTGGCCTGCTGGTATCATACAGCTAACATATATATTGTTTAGTATTAAGCTTTGCTTGTTCCATATTCAGTTTTTCAGCAAAGCGTGTTTGAGTCCATAAGAAAAGATTCATTCTTATATCTGGAGGATTAAATATATTTCAATAAATATTAACGTCAGCCCGCGACTTTGTTCCAGTTTTGAATTTTGGCCCACTGTGTGTTTGAGTTTGACACCCCTGGTTTAGACTGACTCTAAACTCAATTTTAACCCACACACTAGTTATGTGATAACAAGACTAACTTTTCAGACACAACTGAAATCAATAAAATAAATCTTGAGCACTATATCACAGAAGAAAATGGTATATCCTGAATTTACTCAAATCACGACAGAAATGACATTCAGCAGCAGCAGCATTACTCCTGATGAAACAAGTGTTATGTACATCGTGGCTGCTTGTGATCTGACACCAGTCTGTAATGTCTCCAGATCCTCCCGATCCTCCAACAAGGTTGAAGATCCAGAGCGTCAGGAAGGGCACAGTAACTCTGACCTGGAAGGCTCCAAAGAACGATGGTGGTTCACCTGTAACCCACTACAGCGTGGATCTCCTCTGCTGGGACAGCAGTGGCACCCAGAAGGAGTCCTGGAGGAGGTAAAACTTCACACATCTGCTCTCTTGGTTTCTGCTGAGACTCGATTTGAGAACATGTGGTATGGACTTACTCTGACTTTCTGACTACAGACCTAAATCTGTTAAAAATCTGGAAGATTCTTTTTTCTTTGTAAGCCAATAGAGACTCATCTTTACCTTTTCGAGCTGCTGTTGTGTTGGCTTTGGCTGTAACTCCATGTTGTGCTACATCCAGGTGCAACAGGAGAGATGTGGACACCACCAGCTTTAAAGTGGAGGACCTTACAGAGGGAGATGAGTATGAGTTCAGGGTGATGGCTTACAATGAAGTCGGACCGAGCCGACCTTCATCTACTGCTGGACCAATCATCATCCAGGACCAGAGCTGTAAGAGAAATTTAATAAAATGGGCAGTGGAGCTGCAGAGTTTGATTTTCAGTTCAGTATTGAGTCCGTTGAACAGCTCCTTATATTGTCACTTAAAACCCTACATAATGTGCACCTCTGCACATATGCAGTTACACTGTGTAGTAACAGTACACTTCAGTACTTTAGTCATATTTGTCATTTTATGGGTGCTAACCTGTGAAATGTGATGGATGCAGAGCTGGATGTTCTGTTTTTAAATTATGTCCTTTTTAACCTCAAGTTACAGTGTCCCAACAGCAGTATGTAATGACTATCAGTACCTTTCATAAAATAAACAAAGCACAATATTTTATGGACATTACCTTGAGTATTGCCCATATTTACTTTCGTCAGTGTTAGATTTCCACCTAGAAAGACAAGCTGCCAAAATGCAATTAAAAAGCAAATAACTGTCAAATCCTTTATTTCGTCCTCCAGGTGCTCCATCCATCGACCTGAATGAGTTCATGGAGGTGGAGCAGGGCTCCGACATTAGCATTGTGGCCCAAATTCGTGGCTGTCCATTCCCTACACTCACCTGGTACAAGGCTCCGCCCCACAAGTCCGACGCGAAGGTGGAGGTGCAGTACGACGAGCATATAAATAAGATTGTTTCGGACGACAGCTGCACACTGCTCATCCAGCAGGGCAAACGTCCCGACACAGGCCTGTACACGCTGGTGGCTTCCAACAGCCTTGGCAAGGCCTCCAAGGAGATGAGGCTCAACGTGCTCGGTACAATCACAAAACACACTGCAAACATATCTAAAATATCTCATGTTTTATTTTAACTTTCATATTAATTATTTATTTTCATGATAGTCGGTGTGGTGGAGTAAATTGCTGGAATTACAGTCATCGTTCACCAGAATAATTTCCACAGCATTATTTGAGTCTTGATTTTGTGTGGCTGCAGGCCGTCCCGGTCCTCCCTCTGCTCCCATTAAGTTTGAGGAGATTGGAGCTGAGAAGATCACGCTTTCCTGGCTGCCGCCGAAGGACGATGGTGGCTCCAAAGTCACGAACTACGTCATCTGGAGGCGGGTGGCCAACAGAAAGACTTGGGTGCCTGTCACCAGTGAGCCGAAAGAGCGGATCTGGACAGTGGAGAACTTGATGAAGGGACATGAGTACGTGTTCCGCATTATGGCACAGAACAAGTATGGAGTTGGAGAGCCATTGGACAGTGAGCCCGAGGTGGCCCGAAATCTCTACAGTGAGTTTAACCATCTGACTCTCAGCAGCAAACAAAGCTATGAAACCATTAATGGGTCGATTTAAAGTCAGTCACGTTTAAGGAAGCTTCATATACAGCATGCAATAATATAATTCTTCTCACATCTTCTGTTGCATTGTTATGCTAAACGACAGCAGGAGGGCTTTGTAATAGAGGATGACACTCAGAAAACATACCAAGCAGTAATCCATCTTTTAGTCATTCTTAACCATCAGCACAATAATAGCTGTGAGATTTTAACAAGTCATGCGAAACTATCAAATCAAATGTTCTTATTTAAAAGTGAAAGTGAGGATCAAAATGTAAAAGATGAAGGGGTACGACCTGCATCAGGTCTTCTAATCCTCTAACCTTTGATGCTATGTGTCTGCGCACCTGCAGCTGCACCTGGTCAGGTTGAAAAGCCGACAGTTACCAGCGTAACCATGGACTCCATGACTGTTAACTGGGAAGAACCTGAGGACGATGGGGGGTCCCCGATCACTGGCTACTGGCTGGAACGCAAGGAGACAACTGGCAAACGCTGGACCCGTGTCACCCGCGACCCGATCCGTCCCATGGGCCTGGGCGAGTCGTTTGTGGTGAGCGGACTCATTGAGGGATCCCAGTATCTATTCCGAGTCTCTGCCATCAATGCCGCAGGGCCCGGACTTGCCAGCCCTCCCACTGACCCCATCTTTGCCAGAGACCCTATCAGTAAGAATTACACTCTGAAATCACTAGAATTCATACAGGTTTTAAGGACACAATATTAACCACCTCTGTCTCCTCCTGTAGCGCCGCCATCTCCTCCAACCCCAAAGGTTTCTGACTGGACAAAGTCTACAGTGGACCTGGAGTGGATTCCTCCTCTGAAGGATGGAGGCTCCAAGATCATTGGTTATTGGGTGGAGCACAAAGAGGAGGGCACTGAAGCCTGGGTCAAGGTAATACAGTTCTACAAAGCAAACATCTGATAACTTCATTGACTGGCATATCTATCATGAGGCCAAACTTAGCAAACAGAAGAAGCCAAATCATTTCATGAAGTCCCAACCCAACATGAATAAACCGCAACTTCTCATGAAGCACAAAGCCTTAGTGTCTTATTAGAATAAACCATTTAAACATTCGTCTGTCTGTTAGATCCACTCCATTTTCATGTCTTTTAGGCCAAGGACACGGAAATCCGTGGCACCCGGTTTGTGATCACTGGTCTGAAGACTGGTGGTAAATACAGGTTCAGAGTGATTGCCTTCAATGCTGCTGGCAATGGTGAGCCAGGAGAAGTCCCAGAGGTTCTCGAAGTGAATGACAGAATTGGTAAGTCGGTCCGCTAATTTAGTCAAAGTTCTCCCAGCAATGACTTAAAAGACCTATATGGAGTCCTTTTGGAATAGACTACTGAGTTTCTTCCTTCCAGTTGCGCCTGAGGTCGACTTGGATGCCTCGGTGAAAGAAAGAATAGTGGTCCACGCTGGCGGCGTGATCCGAATCATTGCCTACGTGTCAGGCCAGCCATCCCCCGATGTCACCTGGAGTAGAGATGGAGCTGCACTGCCTCCTGAGGCTAAAGTGGAGACCACAGCCATCAGCTCATCTCTTGTCATCAAACCTTGCACTAGGAAACACCTTGGTGTGTACACACTGACCGCCAAAAATGCTGGAGGAGAGAAGACAAAGAAGATCACAGTGGAAGTTCTGGGTAACACACTGTTTTCATTAAAATGGAATTGTTGGACATTTAAAACCCACAGAAATTGTAAATATGTATTTATTACGTTTGATTGTGTCCTTCTTAGATGTTCCCGGGCCAGTAGGCATCCCCTTAGTTGCAGAGAACCTGAGCAGTGACTCCTGCAAAATCAACTGGTTCTTCCCTGAGAATGATGGCGGCTCACCTATAAGCAACTTCATTATTGAGAAACGTGAGGCTGAGCGCAAAGCCTGGACGTCGCTGTCCTACACCGCCAGCAGACAGAACGCTGTGGCTCATGACCTCACACCTGGAAAGGCCTACTTCTTCAGAGTAGCTGCAGAGAATGCCATCGGTATTGGACCCTTTCTGGAGACTGCAGCTGAGATTGTCGTCAAGGAACCCATCAGTGAGTTTAATTAAACAAACATAGTGGCCATTGGACACTAGAGGTCTTTTACTGCACTAAAGAAATGAAGAAGGTTATCTGATCCAACCAAGAGTACAAATCTAAATCACTAAGCGAGTTCCTGTCTTCAGATGTGAAGAATGTTTGTATGTTTGTTTTGTAGGTGTTCCTGACCGTCCAGAGGAGGTGGAAGTCACCAAGGTCACCAAAGATTTGATCAGCATTGCTTGGAAGGCGCCCAAGTATGACGGTGGCTCAGAGATCACTATGTATATCCTGGAAGCACGCATGATTGGCAAAGACAAATTCACTAGACTGACAAAGGAGCACCTGATGGACAGGAAATACACCTACGATGGCCTCAGGGAGGGTGACACCTATGAGTTTAGGGTCATTGCTGTCAATGAGGTTGGCCCCAGCAAACCATCTTTCTGCACCAAACCAGTCACCTGCAAGGACGAGCTGGGTAAGCGGTTGTCCACATTAGAACTGCATTATTATTGGCAGCGAACAGGGTTCAGTAAAACATGCCAGTGTCATCAACAAAAAATAAAAATGAAAAACAGTGAAATGATTGATTTCCATGAGGAACATCATGTCAGAAGATCTCTGTGAGAGGCCACTTCTTTGTCATATACAATATAAAGCAACCTGAGCAAACTGTTATAAATAAATATATAAATACAAAAATAATATTGAATTGAAATTTCATTTCTGGATTCACAGATCGTCTTCATCAGGTTACACGGTTTGCTCCAAAAATACAGTCAGAATAAAAGTTTTTTCACATTACATAATAAAATGTTCTTAGTGGGTCTTTAAATTAGGTAAACACAACCTGAGATGAACAGCAACACAACATATTGCACCATGTTAACACTAAGCCAAAATGGAGAAGCAGTGAAAAAAAACAGTATCGTCTAAGTATAACCATTATTACTGAAAGCAGTGACAATTCAATGGTCAGCATCACTCGTATTAGAAAATATCCATCAGAAAAAATAACAACAAGAAGGAACAGTAAATGAAAAAAAAGTACTTTGAATAAAATTACTTTTTTTTTATCAGACTCCACATGCCAGTGTGGTTTCTTACTCCCAGTAAGGCAAAAATAGAAAACAGAAATGCCGAGATCATCCTAAATGTATTAAATATTAAAAATGATGCTTTCCGTTTTCACAGAGCCGCCCACCATTGAGCTGGATTTCCGCGATAAGATCATCATCCGCGTGGGGGAGAGCTGCCTGCTGCAGGGCCGCTATACTGGTAAACCACCTCCATCCATCACGTGGTATCGTGACGACAAGGAGCTGAAAGCTGACAAACACATCATGTTCAAGAACACGCTAACCACCATGTCGCTGGGCCTGATGAAGGCAGAGCGTGAACACAGCGGCAGATACGTGGTCGTTGTAGAGAACAGTACCGGATCCAGGAAGGGAGTCTGCAACATCACGGTTGTTGGTACGTCAACACAGATCTCAAAGAGACGTAGCAGCTAAATGACTGATTTATTTTACATTTACTGCTTTCAAGCAGACTGAAATACAAGCTTTCTAAATAATGCAGGGAGTGCGTGATCACACAACAGAGAACTCATTTCTGTTTGTCTTTTCTTTCTGCCCTCCAGACCGCCCGACTCCTCCTGTTGGCCCAGTGGTGTTTGAGGAGGTTCACAGGGAATACATGGTGATCTCCTGGAAGCCTCCTTTGGACAGTGGTGGTGTTGATGTCTCTAATTACATAATTGAGAAAAGAGACATCAACAGAGAAACCTGGACCACAGTAACATCTGCCACCACCAAGACCACATGCAAAGTAGGCTGATGTGGCTCTACAAGATGTTCAGAGGTCCTGTTAAAGGTTTGCTGCAGTTGAGAGATGCTTACATGTTGTTGTTTCTTCTCAGATCCCCAAGCTGACAGAGGGCAGGGAGTATATAATGAGAATCTGTGCTGAGAACATGTACGGTATCAGCGACCCTCTGGAATCTGAGGAGATGAAAGCCAAAGATCTCTTCAGTACGTTCATGGAGTGCTATTTTTTTTTTTGCTGTTCCAGTTTGAGGTGTCAAATTACCAGTGAGAAAAAATGTTCTTTTTAACTGGAAGACGTATGAAAAATTTACCAAAAAAACCAGCAAAAGAAAAATGATAAATGATCTGCAAATAACTGGTGTGCTCAAAGTTACCAAATGTCGTTCCCTATGTGTCTGTTTGCTCTTGCTGCCTTCCTGCAGGAGTCCCCGAAGCCCCTGAAATGCCAACAGTCAGGGAGGTGTATGGCACCAATGCTCTAGTGCTGTGGAACCGGCCTCGTGATGGTGGAAAGCCCATCACCAACTACATCCTGGAGAAAAAAGAGACCACAGCCAAGAGGTGGTCCAGGGTCACCAGAGACCCACTGTACCCAGCCACTCAGTATCGAGTCCAGGATCTAGTGGAGGGTTGCGAGTATGAATTCAGGGTGATGGCTGAGAATGAACTCGGACCTGGAGATCCCAGTGTCCCCTCCAAGCCCATACTTGCCAAAGACCCTATTGGTTAGTTTGTCAAAGACATTAAATATTTGTAAAAACAGTACTATACTCAGATGTTCCTTGTGCATAAAAGGTCCCTGCCATAAAGTTACAAATATTTTAGGTGCCCATCTTTGCTACTAGGATTAAGAAAGCGTTTCAGATTTTTTTTTTTTTTTATCACAGTGCGCCCCAGTCCTCCTGTGACCCCCGAGACCTATGATAAGACCAAGGACTCCGTCAGCCTGAAGTGGAAGATGCCACGCCACGACGGGAGGGGACGAATCTTTGGATACCTTGTGGAGTACCAGACGCCTGGTGCCGTAGAGTGGATGCAAGCCAACGAAACCCCAGAGCAGTGCCCTGACCTCCACTATGTGGTGACAGGGCTGGCTGAAGGACACGAGTACAAATTCAGGATCTTCACTGTCAATGCTGCCGGCAAATCAGATCCTGCTTATGTCAAGGACACCATTAAAGTCCATGACAGGCTTGGTAATAGAATCAGTTGCACTTGTTTTTTTTCTGTATTTTAAGTTTTTTGAACAACATATTCTTTAAATACAGAAACATATAGAAATGTGCAAAATAAACAAATTATGTTACAATATTTTCATTTGTATTAAAGATTTATCATTTGAATGCATTTTTGCTTAGCTGCCAGGGCTTTCTGCCTTTTCCCCCTACATTTACTAAATTCTGTAAACTTTTTTCCATTTGCCTCCACAGAGGAACCACAGTTGCTGCTGGATGCCAACATGGCACGTGACCACCTGGCCATGCTGGGATCTGACATCACCCTGAGTGCCACCATCAAAGGTGTGCCGACGCCCACAGTCAGCTGGAAGAAGAACGATGCAGACGTTCCTGCTCACATCACCGTCGCTGTTACTGCCACTGGCAGCAAAGTCTTCATCCCGAAGTGCGTCCGTGCAGACTCTGGCAACTACACCATCACTGTTGAGAATGCTGCTGGAAAGAAGACAGCAACCGTTGCTGTGCTTGTGCTGAGTAAATTCACTTTCTGTTAATACGATGAATTATTGAGTTCAGATCATATTTGAGTTTTACTTGACCACAAACTTTTGTTTCCGCTAGACAAGCCTTCTCCTCCCAGGGACTTGGCAATCTCTGATGTGACCAGTGAGTCCGCCTACCTCACGTGGAAGGCTCCAGAGGACAATGGCGGTGCCGTCATCTCTCATTACATCGTGCAGAAGAAGAACGTGGCTGCTGAGCAGTGGGTACCTGTTGCTGCGGCCAATAAGAAACTGAGTCTGATGGCCATGTACCTGATGGAAGGAATCCAGTATTTGTTCAGGGTAGCTGCAGAGAACCAGTTTGGCAGGAGTGATTACGTAGTGACCAAAACACCCATCAAGGCTGTCGATCCTCTCTGTAAGTGAAAGTCATTACTGCGTGACGTGGTCTAATTTGACACACTTTTAAATAGTGATTCTTCAGCTGCTTTGGTAAATTGATAGTTGTATGCCATGTCATTATTGTAGGGTCTTTATCTTACAATAAAAAGTGTCTTGAGGCAAATGTTGTTTTTGGCGCTAAATAAATAAAACTGGAATAAAGTGAAGCTTTAAAAGTGTAACTGTAAATTTATACATTTGAATCCCATCAATAAAAAGCATTAAAAAGCAATTAATTTCTTATTTCCTGGATACTTTAGATCCTCCTGGCCCACCCAAGAACCTGCACCATACTGATGCAGATAAGACAGAGGTTTGGTTGGCATGGGAGTGGCCTGACCGCACCGGCGGAAGTGAAATTACTGGCTTCATTGTGGAGCACCAAGAAGAGGGTCAGACTGACTGGGTCACCTTCAAGACCGTAAGCAACAATCACACCCATGTCACAGGTCTGGAGGAGGGCAAGACTTACCGCTTCAGGGTCAAAGCTCAGAACGCCATTGGCGTGAGCCGTCCCGACACCAGTGTCCCTGTCACATGTCAGGAGAAAACATGTAAGAAACATAACTTTGCTGTATTGTAAATGCTCAACATTCTCCTGAAATAATTATAATATTTCTGCTCTGTTACTCTCTTTCAGTGCCACCTACTATTGAAGTTGATGTAAAGCTTATTGAGGGTCTCACTGTCAAAGCTGGCACCACTATTGCTCTTCCAGCCAAGATGGTGGGCATCCCTCTTCCCACTGCCAAATGGATGACTGATGGCAAAGAGATCACATCTGAGGGCCGCTATCACATTCAGTCAGCTGAATCCACAACCACCCTAAGTATCCCTGAGTGCCAGAGAGCAGACTCTGGAGAGTATATACTCACTGTGTCAAATCCTGCAGGCAGCAAAACTGTTGCCCTTCATGTGACCGTCCTGGATCTTCCAGGTCCACCCATTGGACCCATTAATATTTTGGAAGTCACCCCTGATTACATGATGATCCAATGGAGAGCCCCAAAGGATGATGGTGGAACACCTATCACCAACTATGTGGTGGAAAAGAAGGATGTGAAAAAACCATGGGAGCCTTGGTCTGTGGTTAGCTCCAGTGGCACAGTGACTAGAGCCAAGGTGTCCAGACTAGAGAAAGGCCGTGAGTACATTGTCCGTGTGCGTGCGGAGAACAAGATTGGTATCGGTGCTCCACTTGAGAGTCCTCCAACTATTGCCAAACACATGTTTAACCCTCCCGGCCCACCAGGCCTACCAGAATGTTCTGATATAACAGAGAATGCTGTAACAGTGTCATGGAGCCTGCCTGACTATGATGGAGGAAGTCCTATCAGTGGTTATGTGGTTGAACGCAGAGAAATGACAGGAAAGTGGATCCGTGTCAATAAAACACCTGTTCTCGACCTCAGATATAGAGTCTCTGGCTTATTTGAAGGGAACACTTATGAGTTCAGAGTATTTGCAGAAAACATTGCTGGTATCAGTGAGCCCTCGCTTACCTCTGATCCCATCAAGGCCACCCGAGCCATCACCAAACCTGGCCCCCCTGGTAATCTTAAACTGAAAGACTGGAGTAAGTCCCATGCTGACATCTGTTGGACCAAGCCTACAAGAGATGGAGGTAGTCCCATTCTGGGGTATGTAATTGAGGCTCAGAAGTCAGGAACTGCCCAGTGGGACAGAATCAACAAAGACCTTGTCAAGATGTGTGCCTATAGAGTTCCAGGCCTCATCGAAGGACTAGAGTACAGACTCCGCATCAGAGCCACCAATAAGGTTGGAGACAGTGAACCCAAGGAGCTACCTCAGACTATCTTGGCAAAGGACATCCTGGTACCACCTGAAGTTGTTGTTGATGTGTCATGCCGTGACTCTCTGACAGTCAGAGCAGGTCAGATTATCAGTTTGATCACTAGAGTCAAAGGCAGACCCGATCCAGAGATCACTTGGACCAAGGATGCCAGAGCTTTGGCCAGGGATAAGCGCACACAGATGAACAACAACTACCCACTGTGTGAACTCATCATAAACGATGCAGTCAGATCAGACTATGGTAAATATGCTATTGTGGCTAAGAACAGCAGCGGGCAGGCACAGGCTGCCATTGTTGTCAATGTCCTAGACACACCGGGAGCTTGCCAGAATATAAAAGTGGCTTATGTGACCAAGAAATCCTGCATGGTTTCCTGGGAGAACCCTGAAGACAATGGAGGAACTGAGATCACGCAGTACATTATTGAATGTCGTCAGCCCAGCCAGCGAGGATGGACAGTGGTTTCCAATGACTGCACTAAGCGTCTGATAAAGGCTCCTCTTACAGAAAGTTGTGAATATTTCTTCCGGGTCAGCGCAGAGAACAAGATTGGCACTGGTCCACCCACTGAGACCAAGACACCTGTATTGGCAGTTGATCCCATTGAGAAACCTGGTGAACCTATTGACTTCCATATATCTGAGATAGGCAAGACCTTCTGCTTCCTCAAGTGGAAGAAGCCAGATTATGATGGTGGTAGCCGTAATCTGGGTTATCATATTGAAAAGAAACCAAAGGAGGCTGATGAGTGGGAGAGGCTTCACAAGGGTGCCATCAAGGAGACTTACTTCATGGCCGACAGATGTATCGAAAACCAGATCTACCAGTTCAGAGTTCAGACTAAGAATGAGGGCGGTGAAAGCAGCTGGGTTACCACAGCTGAAGTCATGGTTAAGGAACAGTTAGTGATTCCTGAGATCAAGATTAAATTGGATGGAACCCTTATAGTGAAAGCAGGAGGCTCCATTCCTATAGAGGCAACAGTGACGGGCAAACCCCAGCCTGATATCAAATGGACCAGGGATGAAAGCACAGAGGAGATTAAGAAGGGCCCCAGGCTTCAAATCGAAAGTGGTGCAGACTTCTCTAAACTTCTGATTACTGGAGCAAGGCGCACTGACAGTGGCAAATATGCTGTTACTGCCTCCAACAATGCAGGAACATGCTCTGCTCATGCCAAGGTCATTGTACTGGATAGACCTGGCCCCATCAGGGATCTCAAGATATCCGGTATCACTAATGACAGGTGTCATCTGGCCTGGGAAATCCCAGAGGATGATGGTGGCTGTGATATCTACAACTACATAATTGAGAAATGTGAGACCAAGAGGGGAGTCTGGTCTGTTCACTCCAATGCCGTCATCACCAACAAAGCGAAGGTAACTCGTCTTATTGAGGGTAATGAGTATATGTTCAGAGTTAGAGCCGAGAATAAAATGGGCTCTGGACCAGCAGTACAGAGTGAAGCTATTGTTGCTGGAACGCAGTTCAGTGTACCTGGTGCTCCAGAAGCACCAGAGGTCATCAAGATTGCCAAGGAGGAGATGACTGTTCAGTGGTCAGAGCCAGAGAAAGATGGTGGAAAGCCAATCACAGGATATCTGTTGGAGAAGAAAGAGGAACATGCTGTTAAGTGGTCTCCTGTCAACAAGGATCCAATTCCTGGAACTCGTTTCACAGTTACTGGACTCCTTCCACTTCATGAATACCAATACAGAGTGAAGGCGGTGAATGAAATTGGCATCAGCAACCCAAGCAAGGCTTCACGTGCAATCACTGCTAAGGATGCAGTTGGTATGTTGCTAGTAATAATGTTTACATTCTGCTTAATGTTGATAGTCTAGAAAGTCTCAATGGCTACACAAACCATTCTTCTCTTATTACAGAGCCACCTGCACCTCCTACTAACTTGAAGGTTGTGGACAGCACCAAATCCACAGTCACCTTGGGATGGACCAAGCCGGTGTCAGATGGCGGAGCTCCCATCATTGGTTATGTTGTGGAGATGAGGGCAAAGGGATCTGTTAAGAAAGGTGAAGATGGCTGGAAGAGGTGCAACGTGGCAGCTCAGCTGATCATATGCGAGTTCACAGTCACAAGTCTGGATGAGAACCTTGTGTATGAATTCAGAGTGTCAGCTCAGAACCAGGTGGGCATGAGCCTGCCATGCAATCTGGAAGGCGCCGTGATTCCCAGGGAGATTCTAGGTGAGGACGTAATTGAATTTAATTATAATTCACGTAAAGTGTAACAGAAAATGTATTTAGACTCGAGGACAGTGAATTTACACTAAAATGTGATCTATGCTTGCTATTAAAAGATAACTCCACTGTTACTCTTCCAACAGAGACACCCGAGATAGACTTGGATGCCAACCTAAAACAGGGATTAACCGTAAGAGCCGGTTGTCCCATCAGATTATGTGCCACCATCAGAGGCAGACCACCTCCAAAGGTGATTTGGAGGAGGATGGGTATTGACAACGTGGTCAGGAAGGGTAAAGTTGACATCATTGACACCATGA